CTCAGTTATACATATACCTATTCTTTTTCAGATGCGTTTCCCTTATAGGTGATTACAAAATGTTGAGTATAGTTCCCTGTGGTATACAGTAGGTCCTTGTTGGTACCTTATTTTAACTTCTTTAGCTGTGCAGTCTCACATGGGCTCCTCCTTGCTTATTCTATAATGGTGGTTGCTAAAGTACGTTCTACTGGCCTTTTTGAGGCTGGGCACAGTGTGCTGGTGAGGAATTCTAGTTCTGACCGTGTCTCTACATGTGATTCTTTCCAGGCAACACTGCCCAACTTCTTCTCTTAGATGTGTAAGGTCAGTTACATCACTTCCCCTACCTGTGTCTGTTTCCTCATTTATCAAATGAGGGGCTGTAATCATGCATCACTTAGACCCTCTCTAGCTCTAAAAAATTTTTTGAAATCCTGGGATATATCCTTAGCTGTTTGAGTTAATCAATTTGGTAGTCCTGTGGAAACACGGGTCCTACCTATGATAAAGCAGAAATGATATTTCCTCAGGCTATCTCAGTGATTCTCAGTGTTGAAACCAATGGGATGGCATTTGGAGATGGAGCTTTGGGCGGGGCCCACATCATGAGATTAGTGTTCTTATTAGAAGAGACACCAGAGGGCTTTCTTCACCACCCCCTCCCCCAAGCACATACCAAGGAAAGGCCATGTGAGGTCACAGCTAGAGGGTTGCCACTTACAAGCCAGGAACAGAGCGCTCTCACAAGAACCTGAACTGGCCCACATCAGACTTCTCAGCCTCCAAACTGTGAGAAGCAAATTTCTATTGTTAAAGCCACCTAGTCTATGGTACTTTGTTCTGGCAGCCTGAGCCAACTAGGACAGCAAGCATTCTCTAGGATAGTCATGGCGCCTGAGCCTTGGATATCTTCATGGTGCCTGAGCCTTGGATATCTTCATGATGAAAGTCATGGCACCTGAACCTTGGATATCTTCATGATGAAAGTCATAGCACCTGAGCCTTGGATATCTTCATGGCGCCCGAGCCTGGATATCTTCATGATGAAAGTCATGGTGCCTGAGCCTTGGATATCTTCATGAAGACCAGCCCTCATGTACTTAGAGCAATATGGAATGTATCATCAAACAGGCAAAGCAGAAGCTTTTAATGCCTTGTCCAAGTGAAGATGAGCAGCGTTGTCCTGCAATTTCTATGCATTGCTGTTTGTTAGGAGTCGGAATTATCTGAACGAGACTGCAAAGTACTTTAAATAAGTACTAAATAGGTAGCCACGGAATGACCACCTCAGTCCTCTTTGGAAGCAGGAAGGGTAGGAGTTATAAAAGTATACGAGTCAGAATTAAACAAGAAAATGGATGTCTCCAGCCACAAAACTAATTCTTGCAGCATGTCATTTTCAGCACTCTAATGATTTCCATAGTACAGCTTTTAGCTCCACTGGAAGTGACAATGCAGGTGTCGCCCTGAATATCATACACTTTAATGGCATCTTGTGTAGTCTCATCCTTTCAGAATGAACTCAAATGTCATCTCTTCTGTGACTTTTCTAAATGTCATTTGAAAATGACTTTGTATATTTTTGCATTCCACAGTCCCCATACAATATTTATTAAGAAGTGAGCAGATCTCATCCCAAATGCTTACATCCCTCTGCATTCCTCTTTTCTCCCTTCCTCTGTGCTAAAATCTGGCCCATTTTTTTCCCCCTTATGAATCTTGATCATGTTTGGCTGTTACCTATATGCTGCCCCCAAGGAAATCTCCTCAGAGTTTGGAGAGTTCAATAGTTGAAGACCTAACAAGACATCAGGCATCAGTGTATGTTGTGGTGGAAGGACAGAGGTTGACATTTTAAGCAAGTTTCCTGCCTTCAAATAACACCAGGTAGGCAGCCAGCCCCCAGGCAGCTATGATGGATGTGGCCATACTAAGTGATGTGTTGAAGGGAGTAGAGAAATACTGGGGTATTGTTTTAAATAAAGTTCCTAAGTTAATTCATTTTTCCACGCTCCCTCTTTACCTCCCTCCTTATGTCCCTTACTCTCCTTTCCTCTCTCCTTCCTTCCTCCCTCCCTCCCTCTCTTCCTTCCTTCCTTCCCCCCTTCCTTCCTCCTTTCCTCAAGTACTTACTGAGCAATTATGATGACCTAGGCACTCTTCTAGGCTTGGAGGAAACAGCAATAAATAAGACCAGGTCCCTGTACCCTCATGGAGCTTACATTCTGGTAGAAGAGAGGTAAAACAGGCAAATAAATAATATGTAGTTTCAAGAAGAAACTATTTTATTTATTTTATGAAAAATAAAAATGAGCAAAGGGTGTGAGAGTTCCTCAAAAAATTAAACATAAAATTGCCATATGGGGCTTCCCTGGTGGCGCAGTGGTTGGGAGTCCGCCTGCCAATGCAGGGGACACGGGTTCAAGCCCTGGTCTGGGAAGATCCCACATGCTGCGGAGCAGCTAAGCCCGTACGCCACAACTACTGAGCCTGTGCTCTAGAGCCCGTGTGCCACAGCTACTGAAGCCCATGTGCCTAGAGCCCGTGCTCCGCAACAACAGAAGCCATCACAATGAGAAGCCCGTGCACTGCAACAAAGAGTAGACCCCGCTCACCACAACTAGAGAAAGCCCGTGCACAGCAACAAAAGACCCAACACAATCTAAATAAATAAATAAATAAATAATAAAATAAATAAATTTATAAAAATAAATAAATTTAAAAAAATAAAATAAAATTACCATATGAACCACCAATTCCACTTTTGAGTATATAGACCCCAAACAGTTGAAAGCATGGTCTCAGACAGATATTTGTGCACTCATATTCAGAGCAGCATAATTCACAATAGGCAAAAGATGGAAGAAACCCAAGTGGCCATCAGTGGATGAATGTATAAACAAAATGTGGTGTATACATACAATGGAATATTATTTCGCCTTAGAAAGGAAGGAAATTCTGGCATGTGCTGTAACATGGATGAACCTTGACAATATTTTGCTAATAAGTGAAGTAAGTCAGAAGCAAAAGGACAAATATTGTATGATTCTATTTATATGAGGTACCTAAAGCAGTCATATTCGTAGAGATAGAAAGTAGAATAGTGGTTTCCAGGAGCTGGGGAAAGGGAAGAATAGAGAATTATTGTTTAATGGGTATAGGATTTCAGTTTGGGAAGATGAAAAAGTTCTGGAGATGGTTGGTGGTGATGGTTGAACAATAGTGAAAATGTACTTAGGGCCAATGAACTGTACACTTAAAAATGGTTAAAATGTTATGTATATTTTAACAATAGAAAATCAAAAAATCTTTTAAAAAATAAGGGGAAGGAGTAGGAATGACTTTGGTTAGTACTGTCTGCGGAAGGCTCCTCTGCGGAGGAGCTGATATTTGAGTAGAGATCAACTAGAATGATGATGAGAACATGGGATGATGACATAGGGGAGTAGTTGTGGATTTTGTTCTAAGCACAACCTTGGGAAGGTTTTGGTCAGTTAATCTGATCTGCCACTTTAAAATATTATACTGGCTGCCATGTGAAAAGTAGACTGAAAGGAAGAAATCTGGAAGCTAGAAGACCAATTAAGAGACTGTGGCAGGGCTTCCCTGGTGGCGCAGTGGTTGAGAGTCCGCCTGCCGATGCAGGGGACACAGGTTCGTGCCCCGGTCCGGGAAGATCCCACATGCCGCGGAGCGGCTGGGCCCGTGAGCCATGGCCGCTGAGCCTGTGCGTCTGGAGCCTGTGCTCCGCAACGGGAGAGGCCACAACACTGAGAGGCCCGCGTACCGCAAAAAAAAAAAAAAAAAAAGAAAAAAAGAAAAAGAGACTGTGGCAGTTGTCTAGACAAGTGACTGGTGGCTCAGGTGATGTTGAGATAATAAGGGAGGTGATGAGCAGAGATTGGATCGGGATGTCTTTTAAGGTAGAGTCATCATGATTTGCTGATGGATTGGGGAAAGAGATGCATTAAGGATGATATCTGGGTTTTCAACTGAGTAACTGATAGGTCTTGCCATCCACTGAGATGGAAATGACTAGAGGAAAAGCTAGTTGGGGAATAGTGAGGGGTGTGGAGAGGCAATCAAGAGATGTGTTACATAAAAAGTGAAATCATAAACTCAGGGTCTAGCAGAGTGCTCTAGTACATAGAAGCCATTTATTAAATACTTGAATGAATAAACGAATGAATGAATGAATGAAACTGAATGGGTAAATGGAGTTAGGGAGGAATGAAGAAAGGAAACTAACTCTAAATTTTACAAAATATGAAAGAGAATATTTGGCGAAATGACATGATGGCATGACACCAAGCTAGAATTTGGGAGAACTAGGTTCGAGTCTAAGAAAATATTTCCAAACTTCAGATTCCTTCTTCCTCTCAGCTTTTAATCTGGGACCTCCCCCTTTACTCCTCCATAGGAAATGTGTTCACAGCTTTATTCACCCTGGTGGACAAGCCCATAACCCTTGCATCCTTGTGCAAGGTTGCGGAGCTCACAACCCTAACAGGGAGCAACCAATCAGTGAGCTCCTATGGCAGGGAACAGCCAATCAATGAGCTCCTCTGACAGGGACGAGCCAATCAGTGAGGGGTTGGCTTTGCACTCACCAACCATGCCTTTTCCCCACACCCATCACACAGGCTGGGCATCCCCGCAAGCATTGTGCAACAGCTCCCTCGACTGTCCAGGCCAATTCTCATAAAATCAGTTCCTCAGAGTGTCTCGGTTTTTAAGGGCAGGGCTTTCAGCAAGCAGAAGACAAGGTTAGTTCATGCTGTGTACTGGCTGGACTTGTGTTGACCGATCCACTAATTGCTCCTGCAGAGCCTACAGGCTGGTTCCTAGTGATAGTCACCAAGGGAGGAGAGAGCAACAGTGGGAAGAAAATATTTTTAAAGTCACCTTCACAATTACAGAGGCACAGTGTAAAATGAGAAAGACGTGAAAATACTGTAAAACGGCCTCACCGCGCAGGTTTTCACACATTAACCACCTTTGTACTGGCTTTTCTACAGGACTGAGGCTACAGAGCGCGTCTGAATCAGCCCTCTCGCCTGTTTCTCTTCCGGCAAAGAGCAGCCCACCAACGGCCTTCTCTCCGCAAAGCCCTCCCGCCTCCCCTACCGGTGGAACACCCAGCAACTCGGTCCTCCCAGATACAGCATCGGCCCGGACATCTCCATCCGCCAAGAACGTCTCCACAGAGCCCAGAGAAGAGGAACCCACCAGCCCAGCCTCCAACTGGGAGGGCACAGACACAGACGCCTCACCAACAAGCGGTGGGGTCCACTTAACACCCACGCGCGAGGAACACACTTCAGACACTCCTGAGGCCAGCGTGGCAGCTACAGGGTCGCAGCCCCCCGTTGAGTCTCCCGCACTCACCTCCCCTCAAGCGCCAGCCTCATCACCTTCACCCCCATCAACCTCACCACCAGAGGAGGTTCCCTCTGCCTCTGTGAGCACCAACCATAACTCTGCTGAGGCCAGCACCAAGCCCACAGGAGCTCTAACCGCATCAGAGCCCCCAGCGGAGGAGCACATCTCTGGCCACATAGCCACTTCACATGCCCCTGCCGAGACAGTGCCCACTGAGACCACGGCCCAAGCAACTGTGCCCCCCAGAGTGACCTGTATGCTGATAGACACGGAGACCACCACTGCTCCCCCCGGGGTGATCATGCAGGAAGTGGAGCATGCGCTAAGTTCAGGTGAGTCTCTGGCTAGACCACGTGGCCTTGATGACATTGAGGTGCTAAGAATGCCGTTCAGTTAACCAAACACAATGGATTAAGTTTGATTTTGGAGTGCAACACCTAGCTGAATTATAATTCCTAAGAATTTCCACAAAGTGCAAACTTTACTTTTAGTCTCTTAATAATTTCCCCATGATAGTTCATTAATTGTGGCCAATCTTTATAATTTGTCTTCACATATGTCTTCATGTATGTAAACCAATGGGACTGGTTAAGCAAAGGCTTTGGGTTGAGCTTCCTAGGTTTCAGTTCTGGCTTCTGACCTTGGGCAAATTACTTCATCAAGGTGCCCTTATTTTTCCTCATCTGTAAAATAGGGATAAAGAAAGCTGTATCATACATGGTTCTTGTGGAGATTAAATGAAATGACATATAAAGTGCTTAGAATAGTTCCTGGCAGAGAGTAAGTACTCAGGAAATGTCAGTTGTTATTCTGATTTTGCTCGGTGTATTAATGCAGTGTTTACCTCATGGAAACAGTCAAAGAAAGTAGGGCGGGGGGGTGGAGAGAATGTGCTTATTCTTTAGAGTCACTGATGTATTTCATGGGAAAGACAACAACTTTTGTGGAATGTCACGTTTGTTTTTATTCTCCCAGCAACCCTGTAAAGTTAGTATTATTTTTATCTTGGTTTTGCAGTCTTGGAAATTATGATAGAGAGAGATTTAGGGTCTTTTCTGAGGTCACATGCATCTGACATTGAGGTGAAGTCTGGAAACTTTAGGGCATTGGGCAGGAAAAGGCCTTAGTAGGAACATTTGGCCTCTTGATTAAGAAACAGTGAGGTGAGAGCAGCCAGCAGGTGAAGGGGGAAATGGAGCTTTAGGCCCTCACCTGAGTCATCTTGCCAGGGGCCATGGACTCAGAGGGGAGTATTTGGGACTGAGCCACACAGCACCAGCTGGGGTCAAAGAAATGGCTGTGACTGAGGAGAAATTAACATCTTTTAACAAATAATTGATAAACAACCATTATGAATGGAAACTCTGGTAAACGGTGGAGGTGGGGAGAAACAGAGCTCAGATTAACAAGACATAACTCCTCATGGAAGAGCTCACAGTTTACTAAGGGATAAGGTCCCAAAGAATTGCCAAGTCTTATTTCAAAGGCCCAGTGTATATCAGTGAGAGTCCCAACAAGAGAGAGAGAGATGCAATCAAACTGGGCTAAAGGAATGAATTACAAAGGTGCAGCTGGTGGTGTATAAGAAAACCACAGGGGATCATAATTGCAGAGCTGTCAAGAGTCAGACCTAGGAGGAGAGAATAGTAACCAGAACGCAGAAGGAGGGTCTTGTAGAATAGACCACCTTGGGAGGAGTCGGGACTCTTGGGGGAGGGACACAACTAACTCAAGGTTAACCTCTGGGAGTGAAGGGAATCTATGCTCTGCCCTCCCTCTCCCCCGCTACTCTGATATGCAGCCAGAAGCCAAGGACAAGGAAGCCCATTGTGGTGCATACAGTTCACCCTCCTGGAGGACAAGTCAGAGAGCAAAGTGGAGAAAGTTGGAGAGTGGATCTGGAGAGGCAAAAGGAGGGAATCCGGCACTCACAGTCCAAACATAGCTTCCTCTGCGTAGCCCCATCCCCATTAGCGCCCTGTTTGTACCTCCGGCCAGTACTTAGCACGCTGTGTTTAGATGTGTACTTTCTGTCTTTACTTTCTGCCACATCCCCACTTTCTGTCTGATACTTTCCATGCTGCCAGCATGCAGGGAATATCTCAAGAATGGATTCGGTACCTGGAGGGCAGTGGGTGTTGACTTAGGGTCCTCAGGTCTGTCCCTAACAAAGGTGCCATCCAAGAACAGGCTTGAGGCAGTGGCCCCATCTCTTCCCTTTCCTAGTTCAGACCTCACCCACCACCTGCACTACTTTTTCAGTTTTCTAACTGGTTTCCCTTCCTCCACCCTCTGCCCCCTCCAGGATACCGTAGACATGGTGGATCAATATACTGAGCACAAATTCTGAGCTTGGCATGCAAGAGACTCCCTAATGTGGCGTAACCTACTACTTTTTCCAAGTCCCTCAGTTTCATGGGCTAGATTATCCAAGACAGCCCTGTTCCACTGTTCTGGCTTGTGTTTTCGACCATGTGTCTTGATTTCCTCGACTCAAAGCCAGCAGGGCTAAGAGACACAAAATTAGTGACAGAGCTGGGTCATGAACCAGAACTTTATAGTTCTAGGGAATATGGCCCCCAGTAGGAACTCCAGGGTAAATGAATGAAGGAAAGATTGATTGACTTGAGAGGAAGGTGTGACAGGTCAGAGGGAGATCACTGAGCATGGCCAGTGTACATTTCATAGACCCAAGGGGATTCATCCCTTATGATCTTTTAAATCGAAGAATATTTATTGTGCATCCACCAGGACCCGGTGCTTGATGCAAAGAAGTATTAATAAGTGTAAGACCTGTCCTCTGAGATTTTACAGTTTAAGTAAAAAGAAAGGACACAAGTAACTCTTAACACCACTCAGTTTCTGATCTGAGAATGAACCAGGGTGGGTGGGAGGATCTTTGAGCAGAAGTGATACAAGCTATTCATTTCAAGGGTGAAGAAACTGCGTCCCAGAAGTTTGGAGTGACTCACCCAGGGTTACACCGCCCAGTGGTAAAGCTGGGCCCAGAGCCCAAATCCTTTAAACCACCACTGGGTCTTCTTTAAGCACCAGCATTGCCGCACTGCTCCACCATCAGCCCAGCAGACTAGGCAGCACCCTGTGACACTGTGCTCCCAGGTGACTATCTGCAGATGTTTTTGTTTTAGAGACTCTTGTGCTGCCTTAATAGTGGCAGTAATCATACTGCACTTTTGTTGAGCATATTGTCTTATTCTGTATGAGTTCACATAGCATATTTCTATAATCCAAGGACTTATCCATTCAACAAATATCCAGACATAGTCACCAATAAATAATTCAAAAACAAGGTAAATGTTATGGGAGTTAGATTTGACTGGCGGGATTAGGGAAGGTTTCATGATAGAGGGAGCACATGAACTGAGTTGTAGGAGATGAAGGGAATTGCGGCCCGAGGAGAGGACAGGGCAGGGGAGGTTCAGGCGCCTGTGTGCTGCACCTACCTGGGTGCAGAATCCAGCCGGCAGTTGCAAGCACGGAAATTGCTCTGGTCGGGCTATCTGGTACCCTCCACACTGCCAGCTCTGAGGGTTAATTCTTAGTCCTGGCGTACCCGACCTAGCAGCAGCGTTTGACACGGACGGTCACTGCCCTCCTCTTGAAGCACCGTTTCCACTTGACCTCCAGGACAGTCTCTCTTGGTTCGTCACACTGCTCCTTCTCAGTGTCTGTCGCCTTACTTCACCCCCTCACCTTCCTACACTGCAGCACCCCAGGGCCAACATTGCCTTCCGCTCTCCCAGCTCTCCACACGCACGCTCTCTTCTCCCCACACTCACTCCTGAGATGACCTCATCACGTCTCGTGACTTAAACCAAACGTAAAATAGCTAGCTAGTGGGAAGCAGCCGCATAGCACAGGGAGATCAGCTCCGTGCTTTGTGACCGCCTAGAGGGATGGGTTAGGGAGGGTGGGAGGGAGACGCAAGAGGGAAGAGATATGGGAACATATGTATATGTATAACTGATCCACTTTGTTATAGAGCAGAAACTGACACACCATTGTAAAGCACTTATACTCCAATAAAGATGTAAAAAACAAATACAAAATAAATTAAAAAAAAAAATGCCATCCACATGCTGATAGCCCGGAGATGTAAAATTCTGTCCCTGTTTTGTTTCATTGAACTAAATACATGTCGACACCCAGCTGTCAGCTAACTCATGGTCTCCACTTGGGTGGCTCTTAGGCATTTCAGATGTCATATGGATCAGATGAATTACTGATTTCCTCACCCCTCCATCCAGTCCTCCCTCAGAAACTGTGGGATAATGCTAGACGTCTTTGATCTCTCATATACGCTGCATCTGGTCCCTCAGAACCCAATTTCCCCTCACCCCTCGGTCCTCTCTCACATGTGGGACTTTAATAGCCCTGTAACTGATCTCACTACTCACCACACCCTTGCCGGAGCGACCCTTTTCAAAACCCAGGACAGGGCTTCCCTGGTGGCGCAGTGGTTGAGAGTCCGCCTGCCGATGCAGGGGACACGGGTTTGCGCCCCGGTCCGGGAGGATCCCACATGCCGCGGAGCGGCTGGGCCCGTGAGCCATGGCCGCTGAGCCTGCGCGTCCCAGGACAGATCCTGTCCCTCCTCAGCTCTAACACTCCATTTGCTTGCCCTTCTGAATCAGAGTAAAAGCTGAAGTCTGTGTCATGCCTGCGGTGCTCAGCACACTCGGAACCCACCCTGCCTCAGTGCTCTCACCTGCTTCCACTTTCACCAGCAAACACACTGCAGTCTTACCGCTTCTTGAACAGACCGCAGACACTCTTGCCCCAGGGCCTTTGCACTTACCATTCCCTCTGCCTGAAACATTTTCCTGCTGGGTCTTCAGTGGTTCGCTCCTTTTCATCAGGAAGGACTTTGTTCAGCTGTCATCTCCTCAGGAGCCTTTCCTCATACCCATGTCTGAAACGGTAATCGCATCACCATGGATCCCTTTATCCTGCTTTACTTTCCTTTTAATCATTTACCACTTTCTGACATTATCTCATTTATTTGGTGAGTAGGTGTCTGCTTTCTGCCACTAGACTGTCAGCTCCATGAAAGCAAAGACGGTGCTCACAAACGGGAAGATGTAGGTTACATCCCCAACCCCTGAGACAGAGCCTGACACATGGTAGACTTGAAATGACACTTGTTGGATAAATGTATGAAAGAGGCAATCAGCCAGTACCAGGGAAGCTATTTAATCTCTCTGAGCCTTGGTCTTCTCACCAATAAAATGGGATAAGGGTAGTCTCCAAATGATGGGGTTATTAAAAAGTTTAATTGAGATAAGAAACTAAATACCCCTGTAACTGATCT